ACGGGGCATCTTCCATCTCTCCAAGCACAGTAGTGGTGCGACTCCCTGCCATCTTCGGCTGCACCACTGCATCCACTTGCAACAATCGCTCCTCCTCTTCACGTATCTCTCGAATGAGCTTGTGGAATGGGGGTGGGTTTTGGGCCCGCTCCCTCAGCTGCAGTCGCCACAACATCAACCCATCTTGTTGGATGCCCCGAAGGATTTGGTCCAACCTAGCGGAATCAATGCGCTTGGTGGGGATGCCCCCTTCCGCACTACCTGCTGTAGCAAATCCTCTAGTCTCCTGATGAAATCCGACAATCGTTCGTGGGGCTCCTGATAGGTATGGCAGAACTGATAATACAGGCCTTCATTGCTATCAGTAGTACCGTAGACACTCTCAAGAGCAGTTAAATAGTCTTGCACTGTGGCAGCTGGTTGTGAGTCTTTCAGGGCTTGGATAATTTGCATGGCAGGTCCCCTCAGACTCTCAAGCTCATGTTTCTGCTTCTCAGCATCAGAGCATTCCCACTCTTGGACAAGTGGCACCGTAAAATCCCTCCAGGTCTCGTAATCCTCCTCCCCTGGGGGTACAGGTGACACCCCCGAGAATGAACGTAACCGCTTGTATGGAGCACTTTCATATACCGGCCTCAATGCATCTTTGAGAGTGTTTCCCAGCTCTTTGGCCCATCCCACCAGGCTGGGTGCTCTAGGTGTTGGAGCCCCTCCTAATGCCAAAATTAATTCTTCTCTTGTCCGCTTCTCATCCGCTTTCAGAGCTTGCAATTTCTGCATTAAAGAATCCACCTCAAGTGACACAGGCACACTAGGACGGGACTGCTCTGCCCCAAGAATTGTCCAAGGAATACCTTCTACTTGCACCTCTTTGGGCACTTTATCAAGATCTGTTTCCTTGGAGTGTGTACATAATGCTACCATGCCCTTCACTTTGCGGTTGTAAATACGGGTGCGGACCTTTACTCTCCCCAGTATTTCAGCTGCATCTAAGTGCTCCTCAATTTCATTTGGTTCCATCTCTTCTGGGAACCCCGCCACCAGCACAGCTTTGGTTACTGGGATTCGTGCCCCTCGGCACGGGTCTTC